ATTTTAATGATCTTCACTTGCATAGTACTTAGTGTTTCGTTAGGTGATTAGCGTAGGTGCTTTACGAAGTGCTTAGGTTGATTAGACCACCGCTTATGCGCTTGCCCTAGGTTTAGGCCTAGTGTTTAGTGAGGTTTGCATACCTCTTACCACTCGGTGCTTGCGCGCACCATTGTTGTACATCAGAGGGGCTTGTAGTCTTGCGAGATCACACCAACCGCGTTTGTGGTGTGGCCACCACCGTGTACCGAAGGGAACAAGACCCGCGGTATTTCGTCTGGAAGCTTGATAGTGAAGACGGAGGGGAGCATCTGGGAGAGGCTTGCCGGAAAGCACGTCGAAGACCCACTTGCGCGTGGGGAAGGCCCGAGGCTATCCACGGAGTTACCCGACCGGGAGCTTGCCCCTTGTGAGCGATTCCTTGCGAGGGGCTCCAACGAGGACTAGGGGGAAGCTTGCGCGCTTCTCGATACCTCAATAAAAATACCGGAGTCATCGACGGGAGTTTACGTATCTCTACCTTTTTCTTTAGCTTCCGCATTTACATTGATTACATTACTCCTTTTGCGATAGAGATAGCAATACACTAGCACAACCGTAGTTGCACATTTAGATAGTTTATCTTTTGCATAAGTTTTTGCTAGGGTTAGAAAAAGATGCCATAGTTTAGAGTTAGAATTTTAAGTTGCCTAATTCCCCCCCCTCTTAGGCGTCACGGTCCACTTCAATTGGTATCAGAGCCGGTTGACTCAATTTGGACCTTTGGCTTAACCGTCGTTGAGCCGACGTCATTTAGAGTGGTTGGGATGGATACCTCTAGGCCTCCGCACTTTAACGGCACTAACTTTCCCTATTATAAAGCTAGAATGGCTTGCTACCTTGAGGCGGTTGATTTGGGAGTTTGGAGAGTCACTCGTGATGGGATGAAATGTGGCAGAACCGCCTAATCTAATGCCTTATAGGAGTGCTTGTCTTCCATTAGATGCTAAGCACCCAAAGGAGAACACTAAATTACTCGGTTCCGTCGGGCACACCCCAGGGGAGAACCCGAAAATCCACATTTTTGCCATCAGGATCACAAACGAGAGAATAAAGCTTACATCATTCTGAACCATTTCTTACATCACTTTTAATACAACATCAGAGTCTAATATTTATTAATATAACAGTGGAATGAAATCATATTATCAGAGTTATAACAATTTAATTGAACAGCGGAATATAAACATGTGATCAGAATTACAGCGGAAATGAATATCTAATCATGACATGATGAAGTATTGATAAATAAACTACGACAACAGATTATGAAACTTTCATTTATAAAAGTATTTTACGAGAGTTATAAATAACAACTACGATCGCAGCGTAAAGGAATCCTCGCTGAGTCCACCAAGAGGTATCCACACAAGGGTCAGCTCTAGCATCCACCTGTCACCTACAACAGGGGGAATAAAACCCCGAGTACTCAATTGTACTCAGCAAGACTTACCCGACAGGAGGAAAGAAAAAGACTCCAAGGATATGCAAGGTTATCTGGCTTGTGGGTTTATTGCATTTGCAAGAAGCATTACTAAGCGTGCGTCCTTATATTCGATTTTTATTAATAGCCGCATTGGTTCATTAACTAACCATTCTATGTAAGCACCTGTGCTACTTTCAAGCAGGTGGTAAGCAATCAGATTTCCTTTTTTCCATCTTCCATCTTTCATCTTTAGTTCTTACTACGATGCTAAACACGAGACAAGCCGTACCGGATTGCCCGACGATTCACGAATTAATGCCCCCAGCGCCCAGGCGGCTGGCAGGCGCTGGTCGCCTACATCAACCTCGGCTGCTACTACGCCGGTGCAGTTCGGTTGAGTCGATGACGCGTGGGCCCCACATTGGATAAAACCGCTCCACGTTGGACAAAACAGCCTCACCCGCGCCCAGGTGCTAAAAGTGAACGGTTTTGACAGTTGAGGTACTAGCATTAGACGGTTTTGTAGTTGGGGGTCAAAATTAGACCAACATAATAGTTGAGGAGACAAAAGTGGACTTAATCCTATTTTTTAACATATAATTTTTCAGAGTTGTTTCTCGAGAAGCGAAAGACAGATATTTTGGTACGGAGGGAGTACTCCGTACGGTATCTTAAACAATTTACTGTATTTCAGTTATGGGTTGCCTCGTGTGGTAAAAAATGCAGTTGCGGTTCTAGACAGCAGGTTTCAGGATTCCACGGTCTCTTCATCCGTTGCAGATATTTTCTTCTTCTTCTTTCTTTTATAAAAAAATTGAAGAGATGGTGGCCATCAAAAAAGTACAGTGAGAAAATTTGAACCAAGCCTTTTAATGTTAAGATTGAGTTTTAAGTTAGAAATCCGGTTTTCGTTATATCAAACGTTTGTTAGTAATTGGTCTAATTCCCTTGCTTGGAGCAACTTCAAGAGAGTTGGTAAAAATAGATGGCTAAATCTATGATTTAGCCGATCTCTAAAATAGAAACCTCCATAAAAAAACAGAAAACTCCAACAGTCTTTCTAGTACGGTAAGACGGATGGCTAGTGGCACATGCAAGCTATCGCATGCGAGAACTCCGGGATAGATGGTTCGTTATTTTGAAAAGCTAGATACAATAATTGTTGAACTCTCTTTTCTTCTCAAAATACTCAAATACGGATTTACACACAACATGAATAGCTCTTCTGTCGGAGGGGATGAAGCTGGATTTTATCCATTATCTAAAAAGTTAAGTAAATGGAAAGAAAAAATGGAGCTGGCACTGGCAAGTACTCCAGTAGGTAAGGTAATCGCAAAGGCAAAATGGGCTCGTTTTCAGTTTCTGCGGACTAGGTATGGGCCGACTCGTCGCTCAAAAGGACTAGTGGACCTCAAACAGTGGGCCACATCAAAGAACAGGTCTCCAGACTCCACCAGACAGAGCCCAGGGTCAGATCATCCTTCCCTTGTTTGTTTGAGGCTCTGGCCTATTAGATCTTTAATTCCGTTTCCTTTGAGTCTATATTTCTTTTCCTTTTGCAAAGGAGCACATAGGATGTATAAAACCCTTGGCAACACGTGTGGCAGAGGAAATTATGCATAGGATTTTTCTTTTTATGTTTGGGTAATCATGACCCTCTTTGCTGAAGCATCGTACATTTATTTCGCATGCAAATTAATAAATACAAACGAATTAAGGAGATGTATGAATACAAACAGAACAGTTGAGGCCACTAGTTTGCTCTCTAAGTTGCATGCCTTGGAAACGGAAGGAGCGTCAAAAGTAAACTGGGGTACGTTCAAGGAAAACGGTTCTACAGTATTTTGTTTGTTTGCATCGGTGACACACGGCTTAAGCATCTATGTGTGTGTGTGTGTGTCTATATATATATATATATATATATATATATATTCGCGAACGTGCCCTTGCATCTATATTATATTCGTACATACGTACAATGCACTCTCATGCACAGATCGAATACATGCATGTACAAGACAGGAAGGGTCGATCGGACAACGAGCCGTGACGAAAAACTAAACCAGAGGCGATCAGCCGCAGTTTGTTGGAACACAACAAACGAACGAAGGCGTTTGCTGAAAACGACGGCCGCGCGGTGGGTAGTATGTAGTAGATGTGGACAGACTACAGAGGCAGGCCGGCATGCAAGAGCGTCGTCTGAACGACTGGGGGGCAGTGGCAGGGATACGCTGCTCGTCTTTGCAATGCATTGCCATTCTCTTGCATTGGTGCCAGTATAATGATATATACTATATGCATCGCCGGCCCTGCCATGGACTGCATGCGGTGATGCATGGGTTTCGCTTTCCCGGAAACCGACCCGACCGCCTTCACACTCCGCATTGCCATACTGGCACAGTTGCCATGCGTGATGCATGCCTCGCTCAATCGCTCATGCATTATGGTACACGTAACATGTGTGTGACAAGCACTACTGCTGTATTATTACTTTATTAGTTTCTACGTGCCTCACAACAAATTAATTAATAGCACCAGCGCATCAAAAGTCTTTTACCGAATTGCTTGTGCACCTTCTTTCGATTCTGGACACACCATGGAGCCAGATGAGCCTGTTGTTGCCAAGGTGCTAAATGTTGAAAGCCCACAGAAGAAAGAATCCCACCACACAACTCATGGCTCAAGCAGCATCCTAGCCTTTATACTCGATAAGCTATTAATAGTGATTAACCTCTGCGTGCTCTACATCTTGATGTACATACTGTGTGCTGTACATTATTCTTATAGATATAAACCGCTTTGCGCCTTTTGCCATATATACCGCGGCATCTTGATCTAATTCGAACGATCCCGTTTTGGTTAGTTACGTCCTCGTTTAATGTACGTTGATTGATCTCGATGCGATCATGATTATGGACAACACGGTTCTGATGAAAAAGTTTACAAAGGAAACTAGGTGCGTTTCAACAACTCGATCCCAAGGCTGCTGGCCCCTGCTCTCTCTGATCTCAGCCGGGGGCAGCGCCGCTATCCTCTGACTACAAGACACTAGCGACGGCAAAGCTATCGATACCAAAAGCAAAGATCGATGCGATATGGAGCATCATCGTCGTCGTCGTCGACGTCGTGCTGCATTGCAGACTCGCAGTTGCATCACTTGGTTCATCTTTCTACTACTAGCAACCCCAGCGACTGCAATGTAACCATCTCATGGAACAAGTACCAGTAGTAGAGAGATTAGATTAAAACGCAAGGTAAAAAAAGGTACTCAAGGCAGTAGCTAGCATGCACTGCAGTACTCGTACGTAGCACAAGAAGAACAAGAAGATTAGGGAACGTACTAACTGTCAGGCACGTACTGATGGCAGACGTACAGCCCGTGGTTAATTTTGATTATATCTACAGCTCCCCCAACTAGTACTAATTAAAACCCATCGATCAATGCAAGTAGTGGCTAGTACTAGCAATCATGAGGCCGGTCGGTCTTCCATGCACACATGGAGATGCACACGCACGCCACGGTGGGCGACCACGATCAGAGCCAGAGCGCGCCGGCCTGCTTGAGGAGCGGGACGAGGGTGCCGTTGATGTGGCACGCCATCACCTTTTCCACGCCGCCCAGGAGCCGGCCGCCCACGAACACCACCGGCACGGGCGGCTGCCCCGGCGGGAGCAGCTGTGCCAGCGCCGCCTGGATCTCCCTCCCTCCGGCGGCGCCGGCCATCTGGTCGAGCTCGTAGACGGTGGGGCCGACGCCGAGGCCCAGGAGCAGGCGCTTGACGACGTGGCACATGCAGCAGCCGCTGGCGCCGAACACCACCACCGCGTTCCCGCTCGCCATCCGCGCCACCCGCTCGTACACCGCCAGCGCCGACGGCGGCGCGTGGTGGAGAGTGGGGGTGCGAGTGCGGCGCCCCGGACACCATCATGGCCGTGGCGTCCGCCTCGGCGGCAGCGTCCGCCATGCCGCCGGCGGCGGCGGCGGCGCTCACGACGCCCGACTCCGCCTGCTGCATCCCCATCCGCAGCATCTTCTTCTTGGACTGCTGTCTTGGTCGTGGACTGGCTGGTTGGTTTCTTGGTCGGTGGAGTCTCAGGGATTGTGGACGGGCCGGAGTGAGGTTGCTGGGGAGTGCACCGGTGGAATGTTCCGGCGGATGAGTTGTTGGCACGGCGAAGGCAAGGCAACAGGCAATGGAGTGGAGGAAGACGGGGTGGGGGTGTGCGCTTTTATAGGCCGGCTGGCATGGGTAGGATCGGGGGAGGAGGGGGTCTTGTATGCGTCTGGTGTGGAGACGAGCGAGGCGAGGGAGAGAGATGCTTTGCTTGCTGCCTGCGTGAGTACTAGTGCTTGCTTGGCCTGGGACGTCGAGCACTAGTACTAGTAGTGATCTCCTACTACTACTACTGGACTAGAACCGGAATGGAATAGAGTAGAGAGGAGAGAGGTGTGTGGTGGCCTGCTGCAGTTCTGGTTCCTGGTTGGGGGATCGGAACCGAGCGAGCGAGTCAAAAAGCTAGGCGCGACATGGATCGCTTTTGCAGAGGCTGTGTCCCGCGGCCGGGGTGACCCACTAGTATCACCTATAGCAAGGCAACTCTCTCTCTCTCTCTACTCACACGGCACGGCGGCGGCGGCACCCGGCCACCCCGCATCCGCAACAAACAAGGGCGGCTGGCAGCTCTCTGAGCACAGTACACAGGCAGGTGCACTAGAGTAGGAGTACGCCTCATGCAGTCCATGCACCACGCAAGGCCCGGCACTGTTGCAAAGGCGGGCAACGCGCCGCAGCCAGCAGTGGCTTTTTCGCGTGGGTGAGCTAGCTAGAAGCTAGGCGAGGATTAGACGGACCTGACCATCTCTATCAGGCATGCACAGCACACAGAGTGCACCAGAGAGGGGAGGAAAAAGGCCGGCGGGGAGTGCCGCTGGCGTAGGCGTTTGTTGGCATGTACGTGCATTACTGTAGGTAGGTTTTTACGTTTAGGCCAGAACCAGACGGCCCGGCCGTTGCATTGCATACATCCATACATCCATTCGTTGATTTCTTCGATGAGCAAGAAGCTAGTAGTACGGGTACTGGAGCATGTGTCAACCAGTAATAACTAATACTAACTTCGTTTGATGCTACTCGTACTTGGTAGCAGTATATATATGAGATGACCTCGCTAGCTATCAGATGGCTAACTGCACTCCTGTGCTTCATTTTACTATGGCTAATCTCACAAATTTACTACACTGCAGGAAGGATCGGACGGGATGCCGTTGCCGCATCGCATGGCATGGCATGCAGAGGCGCGAGTGGGATCAGCCAACGGCGGCCGTACCAGAGGAGTCGACGTCAGTGGTTTGGGGGCTCGGCCCGACAGGGAGCCGACAGCGCCACGTCCCGCGCATTCGTCAGCCGCCACGCCAGGCGGGGGAGGGGAGGAGGGGGAAGCCGTTTGACCCACCGGGCCCCACCCCAGCCCTCGATCCGCCCGCCACACACCCCCAGCTCAGCAGCCAGCATCACGGTGGGTGTGACCGTGACGGTGTGTTACGTCCTGCGTTCAACGTGATTCCCGGAGCCGTCCGGCCGGCGCGCCGCAGCCACCACACGTCACGTAGTAACGTGCTCTATAAATACCACTTCTGACACTGTACGACAATGAAATAAATACAATTTGACACTTGTGTTCAAACTTGATGTTTGGCCATGTTTAGTTCCCCATTTTCCAGAATTTGGCACTATGCAAAAAGAAGATTCCCCGTCACATCAAACTTGCGGTACATGCATGGAGTACTAAATGTTGACGAAATCAAAAACTAATTGCACAGTTTGGTTGTACTCTACGAGACGAACGTTTTGAGCCTAATTAGTCAACGATTGGACAATTATTACCAAATAAAAACAAAACGCTACAGTGCATGAACAATATCGCCGAATCCGGCGGCGCCGAATCGGCCTCCAACTAAACACGGCCTTTGTGTGATTGTATCACCCAACATATACATTATAATTCATCACAAGATTACGTACACACACGTTACTTCGGTGGGTGCCTAGGTGGTGGATTTTGGAGAAAAAAAGGGTAAAATCGGGGATGAGGGAGTGGAATCCATATACTCCTCCACTCTCTCCGTCACAAAATAAATATACATCTTGTTTATTTATCAAGAAACCAAACTTTTTAAAACTTGACTAAATAAACATAAGAAACTAATAACATTTATGATGTGTACTACTCCCTCTATCCCAAGTTATAAGACGTTTTAGAATTTCTAGATACGTAGATTTTGCTATGCATCTAGATATACACTTATGTCTGGATACATAGTAAAATAAATGGATCTAAAAATACCAAACGTCTTATAGTTTGGAAATGAGAGAGTAATAATCAATACTATGGAATAAGTTCCTCGGGTAGAGATGCCATGCACTGGCCAACTACCGGACCCCTTTGCTTGTATCCGCAATATACACGCTCAGGTGTAAATTATTTTAGAGACTTGTCACGTAAATTAACCAGGTACAAGTAGCAAGCTGACAAACTATGTAATTTTTAGGCATCACTGTCACGTAATTTTGAGATTCCTGAATCTTTGGACCTTTGGTGGTGAGATGGATATAAGCAGAATTTACAAGTTATTCAGCTTGTTCGCTGGTTGGTTTCTGGGCTGATAAGTCCGGCTGGTACTGATTTGTTGTGAGAGGAAAACACTGTTGGCTGGCTGATAAGCCCTGACTGAAACCAACGAGTGAACGGGCTGATTGTTCGATCGGTTCAAGGATATTTATCTCAAACGTACAGGGGATGAGGGTCACAAAGGTGAAGTGAATGGAATAGGATGGTTGTTTACTTGATTTGCTTGCTTCATCACACGACCTCACGAAGATGGGATAATGGGATCGAATAACCCTCGGTAATGTGCGGATTCGACTTTACCTAGCGTCGTATCGTATATCAGCAGATCATCATGCTGGGACTCAACTACAACCAACACCGACTAAACAGTGATTCGAGGAATCAGATGGCGTGTGATGAGCCATTTACGGGGCAAAATCACCCAACCGAACAACACGTACGTTATTTTAGTTCAGAAAAAGAGTAATTAATTACTAGACTAGATTTAGTTTCCTAAGTGTCATACACATTTAGAAATTGAAGGAGCTAGCACCAGCTAGATCCATATCGTCCACCGGGCGGCGAATATGAAAATGTATCGTACTATATTTAGTATATGAATCTGATGGATGTTCGGATCAACTCCAATTTAGCATGAGGCTGCACGTACTACGGGCTACGGTGCTGCTGCATCGGTGAGACGTACTGGGCGAGCGAGCCTCATGCATGTCCCGACCGGTGCGGTGTCCGGCCGCGCGGCGAGCGTAACGACCCGGCCGGCGGGGGCGGGGGGCCCGGTGCATACTACTCTCTCTCTCTCTCTCTCTCTCTTGTCAGATACTACTGGAGGGCCAGTGCTCAAGTCAAAAGAGGCATGCATGCTGGTACTAGTAGTATTTCACTCGCCTCTGCACCGGCCGGGGCCAGGCGCCTTTTGCTTCATTGCTTTTGCTTGTGACCGAGGTCGACGACGCGGACCACGCGCGCACCTGACCTGACCTGACCTGACCCGACCCGAGACAAACACAGACACCGCCGCCGTGGCGCCCTTCTCCTTGTCCTTCTCCGGGTCGGACGAATGCACGACATCTCGCTCGCCTCCGTCGCCGGCGCCGATGGATGCATGCCGCCCGCGCTGCCACACCCTACCTATCTATATATCCAGCTACTACTACAACTACCACCACGTACAGTGCCTCTTTGACGCCATCCGCTTGTGCGCCTGTTGCAAGGAACTAAAGCGCCTTTTCGCCCACTCGCCGTGAGTACAGTACACGCATGCCATCGCGTGCCAACCAGTAAGAGCTACCATCTCCATCTCCACCACGTCAGTTACCAACATAGCTCCTCCAATAAAATAGTATTGAGTTGCACCAATATTATTTTTTAATAAGGTGTTAAGTGAGAGAGATACGGTAGCAGATCACCAATATATTATCTCTAATACATTCACTAACATGTAGAACCCTAATGTTAGTGGAATTTTTTTCTACTCACTCATTTATCTCCCTCACTCCCCGCAACTTTCTCCGCCGCCGCTCTTCTCTTTGCATATTCGACTTCTGCACCTTCCCGCATCTTCCCCTACATACCGTACCTTGCTCCTCCCTGCATCTTCCGCGCCTCCATAGCCATTGTCCCTCTCCATATCTTCCTCTCTCATCTACAGCCGCACATCGATGCCAGCTTGAGGAAGCCGAAAACGTCATGACCTCCTTCGCCCTCGAGGAAGATGGAAAACATTGTAACGACCTGGATGAGTGGGAGGAAGAATTGGGGCGAATCGGTGAGCTTTATTACGAACCGTAACAATGTTTGGATATAAGAGCGGATGAACCGCTGAAGAATCTACTGCTATTTCTATGAATTTATCAGCTAATCGGTTACCGTTCTCCCTTTATCTCCTAACACCCCGCGGCTTATATAGCCAGCAACCGTAGCTGCCAAGTAATCAACAACAGCTCATCACCAACCATCGTTGACGGACACGCCACAATCACAGGGAGTCACTGCATCACAGGTCCACCTGTCGGTCATAACATTCTCTCCGCCTTAAGAAACAGACTGTCCTCAGTCTGTGGACTCCTGAACCTGCTCCGGGGCAATGTCTGCTTCATCCTCCCAAGTTGTCATCTATTCAGGCATCAAACTCCACTTCACCAACACCTGCTTCACCCGTCTTGCACCGCGCAAGATTTCCCTGGTGGCCAGAATCTTCTCCGGTTGCTGAAC